CACACTAGAATATGAACTCCATGGAAGGGTAAGGTCACAAATTGATGTCAGCCTCAGCAGTTTAGTGAGCTCAGTGGTAAAGTGCCACACTGGGTTCATTCCCCAGTATTGGGGATGGGAGAAAGAAAGGAAGAAAAGATTGTAAACTCCATGAGGGCCTTCCTCTGTCTTGTTCACTATGGCACCCCTCACATTGGCATAGAAAGAGGCCTGCGCCTTTCGGGCTCAGTAGCCTGTAATAAATAAGCCATTTATTACACTGAATGAATGAGTATATAATATGTATATTTCTTCATTCATTTACTTAAGTGATTTTCAAGGGGAATATCTGTGTGCCTTTTAATAATATCTGGTTTTGGTTGTCAGGAAGATGGGAAGGCGGTTCCTGGCATTTATAAAGAAAGGGATCTGGGGGCAGCAGTTGTGGCCCAGTGGTAGAGCACTAGCGCGTGTGAGGCACTGGGTTCGATCCTCAGCACCACGTAAAAATAAAAATAAATAAATGCATTGCGTTCATCTGCAATAAAAAAAAATTAAAAAGGGTGGGTGGGGGGCGGAATCTGGAGACCATCCCATGTAACATAGTCCCAAAAGGTAACATGATTTTCAAATGACCTGCTAGACCTTCACTAGACCAAAAAATCACTTTATAATTACCCAAGCCTATGCATTAATCTTTTACAGAGAAACAAAAAGTATTTTTTGAGTCCTTAAGTACAAACGATCTCCATGAATGCCACTGGCGTGTAAACAGGAGGGATAATTCTGCTTTGTTTTATCCAAGCCTTACCAAAATTTGCTTATTTTATCAAAAAAACTCATCCTATTAAAAAAAATTACAGCATTTCTAGCGCCCTCTACCATGCTACCTCAAGGTCATGGTATTCTGAATACTTCAGTATATCTGCTTGTGTACTTGGGCCGGAACATTTACATATTGAGCCCTCTTATTTCATTGAAATTTATTTCATGTCCCTTTATGTTACAATTATGCATTCCATGGATGTTTTAAACAAGCGTTTGGGTGGGGTAGGTCACCTTTGGGTCCTATTCCCGGATGAGGGCGGGAGGGGCATTTTAATCTCTTCATTCGGGAAAGAGGCCCTGGGGTCTTCCGAAGACGCCAGCAGGGCGGTCCTCCTCGCGCCAGGGGTCGCTGTGGCGCTGCGCGGCCCCGCCGGGTCGCTCTCGCGTGGCCGCCCCGCCTCGGGCCCCCGGGCCGAGTGGGCGGGCACGACTGCGCCCAGGTCGCGAGGCGCCCTTCGACCAGCAGCGCCCGGGGCGGGCGGGTATAAATGGAGCGGTGGCTGCCCCAGCCGCCTCTCTCCGCCCCGGGTCGCCGCCGCCTGCTCCGCTTTCGGGCTCAGTAGCCTGAAGCAAAAAAGAGAAAAAGATAAAAAAAAACCTGAAAACGCTTCAAAACCTTAAAAAAAAAAAAGAAAAGAAAAAGGAAAAGAAAAAGCGAGTCCTCTTCGGAGAGCCCGCGGGGAAGTCACTTTCGCACGCTTCCGGCCTGCCCGCGCCTGCCGCCGCCGCGCTCGGCGTCCGTCGGTGTCCGTCCGTCGGTCCGGTGGTGAGCAGCCCGTCCGCCCGCCCGCAGGGCCTGCCGCGTCCGCGCGCCTCCGTCCGTCTGTCCGTCCGTGCGTCCGCGCCGCGTGGCAGCCCCGCGCCCTCGCCCCCGCCGCCGGCCGGCGCACCACGTGTCCGTGCTGCCCTTCGCCGCCGCCTCCCGCCCGGGGCTGGCCGAGTCGGCACCCGCAAAGATTTAGTTTCCCTCTTCCCTGGCTGTTGTAATCTTAAACCTCCAGGAGCCCGGGGCCTATATTTATCGAGAAACGCGTGTCCCCAAGGCCGCCGTGGGTAGCATCTGGCTGCCTCTTGAAGAATTTTTGACCCCAAGGAAGGGGATTCCCCGCTTTTATTCCCCTTAATTTTTGGAATTTGGAGCTTCGAGCCAGGACAGCTGGAAACTACAAACTCCCGGAGAGGGCCATATTGTTTTTGAGAGCCTTTGTCTGAGGTTTTGCGGTCCCGTGTGAGCTGCCCGAACTCTCTCGTCCTGCCTCTGAGCCTCCCTGCTGCAGCTTCTTCCCAGCCTCGCTCTGTGCCACCTGTGAGCCGCGGCGTGGGCCACGGCTCTGAGAGAAGCCCCTTTTGTCCTGCGGTGGGCCCCKTAAGAAGTCCTCCTGGCGGGGCTCGGGGTGGTGGGGGGCGGGGAGATGAACGCTGCCGCCAGCAGCTACCCCATGGCCTCCCTGTACGTGGGCGACCTGCACTCGGACGTCACCRAGGCMATGCTGTACGAAAAGTTCAGTCCTGCCGGGCCTGTGCTGTCCATCCGGGTCTGCCGCGATATGATCACCCGCCGCTCCCTGGGTTATGCCTACGTCAACTTCCAGCAGCCAGCCGACGGTGAGTAGAAGTCGTGCCTACACGTTCGTAGGCTCTCGGGGGACATTAAGGGTCATCTTCTAAGGAGGGCCCTCTTGCCAGGGAGGGGGCATCAGGACAGCATATTGCCACAGAAGCCATAGTGGGAAGCAAGGATGCAGGTATTGAGCACATAGCTTGGCTTGTTTCCACAGCCAGAGTTTCAGTCTTGATTCCACCACTTGCCAACTAGATGACCTTGACTAATGGTGGTAATGGTGGTGGTCGGGAATGCTAGGAAGCTGTAAATCCGTATCTGAATGAAGTGATTTTTGTTATTCCCGTATGTCTGGTTCTGTCCAAGTTAGGTTGAGCGGTTGCAGAACCTCCCTGGCCTGGCCAGTGGTCATGGGCATGTGCCCCTCAAACACAGGCCTATTAAAAAACAGTGCCCTGCAGAAGTTTCAGATTGCAACACTGCTAGCCCCTCCCACCTTTAACTTGATTTTGTGCTGATAAGGGATGGCTTGGGGCAAGTAGGAAGCAAAGGAAACAATCTTGTACATTAGCCTCAAGGAGCTTAAATTGGTGCCACCAGCACTACTTGTGCTGGGCCAGCTCCTTACTCTTGTCAAAATCTTTTTACTTCATCCCATCTGAGGAAAATAAGACTCCAGTGAAGGAAAAGGAACTGCAAAAAAGTTGGAGTTCAGGTTGGGACTCCCAGTGCAGAGTTCTGCCACCCAGATTGTCTGAGCAGTGGAGAGGTATGCTGCAGGCGTGGCACAAGTGAGCCCAGAAGAAATTTAATCAGAGGCTGCACGTGACTCCAGATTAAAAGGGAACAACTGCAGAGACCATTACTGGGAGAAACAAGCCATTTTGTGTCAAAGGATCTTCAGGTCCCTGTTATTTTTGTCCCTACTTTGTTCACTGTCCATGATGCAGAGAATGTTACTTGCCCAGCTTATAGCTGAGAACAGAGAATTGGACTAGTTGACAAAATATTGCAGCTTACTGTCAATCCAGTGTACTCTGAGCTCTATTATGTCTTTGGAACACAAAGGAGGTAGCTGAATGTGACTTCTGAGGTGGGGTATTGGGTAAGATAGCTGTTGCCTGCCTCCTTGGCTCTTCTGAATAAAAGTCCTGTCACTTGGAGATAGCAGAAGCCATTGGTCAGTGTGTCTGCCAACACATACCTTTGTAGGACTTCTCCATGCTATAAATAAGTGTAGCCAAATTTGTCAGACTTAGCCAGACTTGCCCTATGCAGTACTGTCTGGAAATAGACCAGGACCTGTGTTGGAATGAGTTCCTTTACTGCTAATTAACAAAGTAGTTTGAGGTCCCATGCTGAATTTATCAGGTGGCCACCCAAGCAAACTTGTCTGTACCTGGACTTTTCTGGCTTGGATCTGTACTGTTGTCTCCCCTTCCCCAGTCATCCCCCATACAAATGTGCGCACCTTCTGAGGAAGGTGGGAAATTGTTGGAAATGAGTGAAAAGATTCCTTTTTATTGATTGGATAGATGAACCTGTAGAGGGGCAGAGTTGGAGTTTTGTCCCCTTTTTAAATGAAATACTTTGAGGCAAGGAATAATTTCCTGCACTCCTTTAATTCCTTTGTGGAAGGGGTTCTGGGTGATGTCATTTATTTAGTGCAGTCACTGAGATAACAAGGACAAGTTGCCACCAATGAAGGGAAGGAAGTGTTCTGGCATTCAGGTGATGGGTTACCTGTACATAAACACGCACATATATATAGCCTTTGGTCCTTTACATGATCTTGATTTGGAAGCTAAGGAAGTGCCCAATGTAATGCATGGAGAATGCGGTCACCAGGGCAGTTGAATTCCTAGAATCCATAGAACTTAGATTAATGCTTCCAAAGGCCTAGACCCCATCAAGTATAGGCCCTCCTGAAATTGAAACTCTTAAGAAACTGGGCTGATACCAGACACAGTGGCGCACATCTGTAATCCCAGCTATTTTAAAAAGGACCAGGAATGTAGCTCAGTGTTAGAATGCTTGCCTACCATGGTGAAAGCCCTGGGTTTAATTTCAAGTACACTAAAGAAGCTGGACTGAATTCAGGGATGGTATCTGAAAATGATAATTTCTTAAATACTATATATAGTTAGCTGCACAACTTAGCCATCCTGCAGAGCACTTGCCTACCGTGCACCAGACCCTGGGTTCAATCATGATAATTACAATCATCCTACCTGAGTCACTGTGGACATAGGCTGCAAAGTCTCTATAAATGATAAAGCTTAGTCAAAAGTAAGGTTGTATCTGATCTTGGTGGCTTTGAAGGCTGTTTCAGCAGGGTTGACTTTTGTCAGTGATTACCTAGAAAAACATTGGTGTAATGTGTTCTTGTAATCTTATGGCAGTCACCGGAGTTGATGTTTTACATCCTTGATTAAAATGCATTTCTCTATTCTAGCTGAGCGGGCCTTGGACACCATGAACTTTGATGTGATTAAGGGAAAGCCAATCCGGATCATGTGGTCTCAGAGGGATCCCTCTTTGAGAAAATCTGGCGTGGGAAACGTCTTCATCAAGAATCTGGACAAATCTATAGATAACAAGGCACTTTATGATACTTTCTCTGCCTTTGGGAACATTCTGTCCTGCAAGGTAGTGTGTGATGAGAACGGCTCTAAGGGTTATGCCTTTGTCCACTTCGAGACCCAAGAGGCTGCCGACAAGGCCATCGAGAAGATGAATGGCATGCTCCTCAATGACCGCAAAGTGTGAGTGTCCCAGTCTGGAGCAACAACCATCGCATGAGCCAGCCGTGGCCCCACCTCGGTATTAACTGGCACACACAAGGCGGCTACTGGTTCTCTCGGCCCAAGTGTGGCCTGCTCCTACCTCTCCACTCCAGGGCTGGTGAGTCTCCCTGCCTGAGCCATGGCAGCTCTTTTGACTCGCCAAGGTGGGCTCCCTGCCCAAGCCATGGCCTGCCTGCCGCCTCTCCCTTAAAGGCATCCGTCTGTGGGTTTTGTGAGCACCAGCAACTGGGGCTGGCTGGAAGGCAGCTCTGAGCCCACTCTGAGCAGGGGCCTTGGCCAGCAGCAGAGTGGAGAGGGCCCTGGGCTGGCCAGGAGCTGTATACTAGCACTAGCTTTGCGACCTTGGCTGTCCTTTGACTCAGTTCTGTTCATGGGTCTCTGGTTGTTGATGCCAAATTGTCCTTCTAGTTTTCCATTCTCTTAACCTCTGACTGACAATATAAGGCTGGCTCCACAGTGATACTTAAATTGGTTACAAAGAAAAACCCATTCCTTTGTGGACACTTCATAACACATCTTGTTGCTCTGGTGTGGTTATTACTGTGGAATGTGGAGAGGGGATTCAGAGCCATGCTGGGAAGAGAAGGGACTATACACCTTGGCTCTTATAAGCAAAAGTCATCTCTGTCCTTTGTGGTGTTGAATAGACCAGAAGATTGGTTGTTTATAATGTCTCTGTGCTTAGTGGGGGTTGTACAGGTATCACTAGAAAGAAACAGAAAAATGTTCAATGTACAGAGGTGTTTTTTGTTTTTTTTTTTTTTTTTTTTTTTGAGTACACCAAAGTGAATGGAGTAAAAAGGAAAGATTGGCTGAATGTGGTGACACATACCTGTAATCCCAGCAATTTAAGGCTGAGGCAGGAGGATTGCAGGTTCTGGGCCAACCTAGGTAACTTAGCAAGTCACTGTCTCATTTTTAAAAAGAAAAAAAGGGCTGTGGATATAGCTCAGTTGTAGAGTTCCCCTGGGTTCAGTCTCCAGTACTGCCAAAAAAAATCCCACCAAAGTTAGCTCTTCACTCCAACAATCTCACTCCTAAGACTAACCACTGTTAACAGTTTGGTTTATGTCCTTCCAGACCTTTTCTATGTATTTACATAGATGCACAGAAATGACGTTTTTAAAACCTGGTCGTCAGGTTTCTTCACGAAGGCAGTATGATGTGGTAGGAGTAGCCCTGGTCTGAGCCAGGAGCCCTGGGGCTGGTCCTCGCAGGGTAGTCCTGCCTCTTTCTCTTTCTGCTGGGGACTTGGGACATCTCTGAGCTTCTCTTGGTGGTGGATGGGGACCTCATGTGTTTTAACCTCTCCTGTCAGCCTTTAACCTGCATTCCTTTGGGCCCCAGGAAGCCATATTTTTTTCTCCTGGGTGATCACTATTTTTCATGGTTTCTTTGTAGGTTTGTGGGCAGATTCAAGTCTCGAAAAGAGCGGGAAGCTGAACTTGGAGCCAAAGCTAAGGAATTCACCAATGTTTATATCAAAAACTTTGGGG